CAGACAGACAGACAGGCTGACAGACAGACAAACAGACAGACAGGACGTATGCGGGTCAGGTAGACACAACGTGAAAACAAATTAATTATATGGGTAGGCCTACACATTGCCAGCGGGAGGTATCTGAGACCACCCAGTGTCTGGTCATCTATTATTGACCGACCACTCACTATGCCAGGGTTTAACTCTTTCCGACCGCGCTATCGAGTCTGACAACAACGCTTAAATGTGCACTGTTCACGGGCACTGTCCCCCCAAAAAAAGCAGAACTTCGTTTCTTTGTTTGATTGTTTGTTTGTGTAAAGAAAGGGCACATTGGCACAATAATGATCATTTAGTGCTGGGAAAAAGTAAATCAGACTAGACAGAAACAACAGAGGGACAGTAAAGAAGTAGGACCTACCAGTGGCGCCCTCCGACAACCACCAGCATAACTTTGTTATTCTTAAAGATTTTTCAGTTTGATTTTCTTTATTTTAAACTCTAAAAGGTAAAATACAAAGAGTATACTATGAAATAATATGCAACATTGTTTGTTTTTTTGTGTTTTATAGTTATTGGAAATGTGACACAGCATTGCCTTCGATCTATAGTGCGGTGAAAAATTCGTGGCGCAACTTATTGTCAAATATTTACTAAAACTGTCGAAGACTCTCCAGCTTTGACACAATGATTTGTACCAATAATTTGTTTTGACAGATCAATATTTTTTAAACACCTGATATCTGTATTCTAGAAAATTCTTTTATAATACTAATTTAAAAATCCAAGTTGGTGGTTTCTACAGATTTAAAAAGGTTTACAGCTATGCCAATATCGATATATCAAAAGCAAGTTTGTTCTTTTTTTTCTAATCGTGACATTATCTTTATTGAACGCATGTTTTGAGAGCCTTCAGAGCAAAAAAAAAAATATGTTCACTATAAAATTAATTTCTTGTAACAAGTTTTGCCCCTAAAATGTGTCAGTGGTGAGGTGTGACGTATGTCATAATTAATTATTATGCATTTGCAAAATGTGTGTGAGAAGCGAGAAGGGCTGTGAACAATCCCATTTTCCGCGTGACGAAGATTTATAGTATTTTATATAATTCATGAAGAATCTTTTTTTAAAATCTAGCCTCAATTGCTGAGGAAAAATATGATTAAGTTAATACAAATTGCTAAGTATGGATAGCATTGATTCACCCGTTAAAGATATATTTGAGGATAAGTTGCGCCAAGAATTTTCGACCCTGCTATAGTGTCGGACATTTTAGGTCCTCTACATCTCGAAAGAGTTAAATCTAATCAGTGGAAAACATTCGAGTAATTTATTCAGTGCTTAGATAGGAACCATGTTTATCACGAGATGTGTTAATTAAGATAAATGAAGTGGAAGCGATTAGTTGCTCGACGTTTGACTTCAGTCACGTGATCTAAAAGTCGACGGAAGTAATTGCGCGTCAAAGGATGTTTCAATATAACAAAAACAAAAACAAAACAAAAGCCCATAAACGCACCTTTTTTTTTTTCAAGGTCAGTTGATGGAGACAGTGGTTACAATCGGTGTGGCGTAGGTGGTCTAGTGATTAGGCTCTCGGACTCTAAACCTTAAGGTCGTAGGTTCGAATCCCGTCAGTGAGTCGACTTTGTGTCCGTGGGAAAAGCACTTTACACGGTTTTTCTTACTTCCACCCAGGGGGGAATTGGTACCTAGCTAGAGACAGCGAAAGATCTTGTCAGTTTGTTAGTATTTGAGCGCTTAATGATCGTTGCTACTTTCTTTATAATATCATTATGCTTCCCATGGAGCCGAGAATGTTTCTGGGTGTTCTAGGTTCTGCTGGAGTAATATTAGTTGTAAAGGCATTCTGTTGAGCGTGGATATGTCTATATACATTATACAAATATTAGAAATTATCATTACTAGTACACTTGTTTTTATTCTTATTTTCATTTTTAATTTTATTCTTATTCATTTTTATTATTATTATTTTAATTCTTA